GCCCCCCAGACCCAGGAGGCACCAGTTGCCGAGCTGGTGGGGTGCAGGGGGGCCCCCCTGCATGCTCCCCGGTGGACCTGGAAGTGGACCAGAAGTGCTTCTGGTCCACCTCCGGGTCTGTTGCTGAATGCACTGGGGAGCCTCCCGCTTCTGTGGGACACTCCATACGCTCCAGCATCACAGCACTCATGAGCCCCTGCTATCTAGAGGTATGTAGAAAAAACATTTAAAGCTGTGTCTATGTCCGAATCAACAAATCTTTCTGAATCTCTGCAAATTGATTCAGAGTGTTCCAATTCGATTTGGAGAGATTAAAGGGTCCTCTGATTTGATTCGGATTCGGAGATTCGGCTACTGAATCGGGCCGAATCTCTGCCGAATTGAATCAGGGACCGAAGCTTCGCACAGCCCTAATATGCATACCTGTCTTTATATAATGTCCTGCCATCCGTCTGACTGTAGCCTAGACAGGTTGAGTTTCTTCAGCAGGGGTCTCAGCTCTCTCTATATAGGAAACATTTACAGCAACCTTCAACCTGCATGTCAGCTGTTTTTCAGAGACTTAAGGTAGAATAGCATCACTCTCAGTCACCAAAATGATGTCCACCCACACTTCCCTTGTGCTTTTTACCTTTGAAATTCATGACCACCTATTAACCTGGCTTGTTCTGTTCAAGAACACCTGTGTAAAACTAACCGGACTGCATGCAAGGCATATACTTTCACAAATGAGGTGTCCACATGTACAGCAAGTGAGGTTTCAACATTGCCTCTCTCAAGAACTCTTAGCATTGGAGATCAAGTACTAGAATCTAATGTAAGTGTGGAGTAATTCCAGTGTACTTAATGGGTGCAATTACAATGATGTTGGTGTAACCAAGATATGAGTCTGATTCTGAATCTCCTCAAATTTATGCATCTTGTCCCCTGCTCCGAGTGTCCTCTGCACTATGGGGCTAGGGACAGAAGTTACACATAAATAAAAGTTTAAGTGATCAGAAATTGATTTAAATCCGTAACAGAACATAGGGCATTTGTACACATGCTTGCGCTGCAGCACCAGACACTGTGGCATGTGCATTTGTATAAACAGCAAAATGCACATCAGCACTGAGAAAATGGCAGCAGCGTGCTTTTGAACTAAAACACATCGAAGGTGTTTTAGTTCAAAAGTGCACCGCTGCTATTTTCTTAGCACTGATGTGAATTTTGCCATTTATACAAATGTATGCGACGCAGTGCTGGGCACATCAGCTTGCATGCGGAGCAGACTTGATTAATCGAGTTTCCTCCGATGCACTGGATCTCCAGTGCATCAGAGCAGACAAAAGTACGTGTATAAATGCCCGTAAGTTCAGTGCATGTAAACCAGTTTCAAAATGGCCAAAACTGGTTTAAGATAAACCTGGTTTAATGTAGTATCAGACTTAAGTGATGTGGGTTAACTTCTGTCCTAGACCCCTTCCTGGTTCAAGTTAAACCAGAATCCTCCAGCATGTTCTGGATCCCTGGGCTGGGCTATGTTCTCTGCTCCACAGAGCAGGACTGGACCTGCCCCTCTGCTCTCTAGCCCAGACAGGGGTGGGGGCATGGGTAGACGCATCTTGACATGACCCCATTAAGGCAAAGTGGACGGAGAGGGGGTTAATTCTTTCCTTCTTCCCCTCCAGTGCAGCCAGGGTCTGCCTGCAGCTGGGGAGGCGGAGGCGGGGGTG